TGGTGCTGTAGGGAACCGAAGGCTGGCTGCCCATGGGCATTCTATTTATATGGGATTTGGGGCTCTAGAAGGTACCGCCGCTTGGCTGCGTGTGTGACCCCCACCCCGTCCTTCTCTTCCTCCCACTGCAGGGCTTCTGGAAAAGCCCAGGGCTGCCCAGGAAGTGGGGGGGAGGGGCTTCCCTGCCAGCCGGGGACTTCAGGCCGGACTGGCACACCGTGCCATTCAAGGTGCGCCAGACTGCAGCTGGCCCCACCGCCCCCAGCCCTTTCTTCTCTCTGCTTTTTGTTCAGGCCCTTTTGATTTGGGAACAAGGCCCCTTTATGTGGCGCCGGGCCTCACTGGGCCTCCCTGTCCCACCCATGGCTGGGGATTTCCTTTTCATCTGGTGCTAGGAGCCCCAGGCTCAGAGCGAGACAGCAGCAGGGATTTGGTAGTGTCACAAAACCTGGGTGACTCAGCTTTCAGTGGGGCATTGTGGCCCGCAGCTTTGATATTTTAAGTGGGAGTCGCAACAAAGGCAAGGCCAGGGTGGTGGCAAGGTAATGCGCTCGCGAGGGCACCCAGCGGCGTGGCCTTCGCAGGCTCACCTGCTGCAAAGGGGCCCCTCTCCTTAGAGGACTAGCCTATGACCCCAGACTCTTAAGAACGACATTGAGTAGGGCTGCACCTCAGAGCTGGGGGTTGGCTGCCGGCTCCTCACCCGCCCTTAGTTCCTAGGACTTCCCACGGGGATGCGCCAGTGCCTCCTCTGGCCAGAGGTGTCCAGGCAGGGACACTTGGCGGGCCTCCAGCCCAGGGCCAGGGGCAGGACCCAGGAGGGAGGCCAGCCAGTGTGCACCCAGAGACCTTGCGTTGGAGCAAGGCAGCAGTCACACCTGCCTCTACGTGGCGCAGAAATAAATACAGACAGGCTCCCTTGGCCGTGGGGTCTTAAGTCAACTCTTCAGACTATCTGTGCCTCAGTTTCCTCATCTCTATAATGGAGTTCCTAGGAGCACCCGTCTCAAGTGGGTACCATAAGGGAGAACAGAGGATGCCCACACAGTGCTTAGAAAAGCAACTACATGGCACAAACGACTCGCTTTATGATGGGTACCCTTTGTTTCTAAGTCACCCCCTTGTCTGCTTGCTGTACATCAGTGCAGGGTGGCCCAATGATGAAGGACAGGAGACCTGGGGTTAGATGGTCCTGGTTCAAACCCTGGCTGGGGACCCTGGCTGGGGACCCTGGCCACTAGCTCAGCCTCGCCCTGGCTCAGGCGCCTCCTCTGTGGAGTGGGCAAGGTGACCGGTAATCCCATGGGTTTAAGGATCAGTGAGACATTCTACGATGAGGGTCTGGTGCTGGCCCGGCCCATTCAAGGTTCTCGTCCCCCACGCACTGTTTTCGGAACAGTGGTTTCAGTGTGTGTCTGAAGGGTCACTGCTGACTTTGGTTGGTTGGAGGCAGGACAGCCCAGAAGGTGGGAGAGCTGGCTTGGGTGTCTCACAGCTGGTTGCAGATCCACGCTTCCTTTTAGTGGCTGAGTGGCCTTGGGCAGTCACTTTGTGTCTCTGAGCCTCAGTTTCCTCCTCTATAAGATGGTGGTACTGACGTCTCCAGCTCCTTGTGGGTTGCTGTGAGGCTCCATGTGACTGTGCGGGTTCCCTGAAGTTCTCAGGAGCTGGCAATGCTTGTTGTGTTGTTGACGTGGGGAAGGTGAAGGACTTAGGATTTGAAGGAATCCTGGGTGAACGACTGTCCTTTTGTTAGGTCAACAGAGCCTTTCTGAGGTAGACACACCTTACTCCCCAAAAAGGTTATGGATTTAGGACAGATGGAGGACCATGGGGTAGGGACCAGGGAAACTTCAGGGTATGCGTCTTTCTGATGGTAGTGACTGAGACCGTGCATGATCCTGGCTAGGCAGAGCACCTCTGGGGCAGGTGCCTGTGGGGGTCTCCAGCAAGTCCCCCCATTCAGCGTGCTGGATCTAGGAAGTTAGGATCTGTGTGTGTGTGTGTGAGGGTGGTGTTGTGTATGTCCGTGTGTGTCTGAGTGTGTGTGTCTGTGTGTATGGCTTATGTGCACATCTATGTGTGTCTGTGTCTTGCTGTGTGCTGGTATGTGTGTCTGTGTGTGTACCCGTGTGTGCACCTGTGTGTGTCCGTGGGGTCTCGTGTGTGCCTCCGTGATTGTGTGTGTGGCTGGTTTGGGCGGCTGAGGCAAGGTTTCTGCTCTGCGTGGGCCCCATCCCCTTCCCCTGTATGTCGTCTCTCCCTTGGCCCTTTGATCCTGCCCAGGCCACCTCTTGGCCACCCATGGCTGTCCTCTGTCATGGAGCCCTGGGCCAGCAGGGGAGGTCGGAGCCTCACAGGCTGCCTTCTTGTGTCACTGTTAGGGACACCAACTCCTACCCCCGCCATGCCGTGATCCTGCCTGTGGCCTCAGCCATCACCCGGCCTCTGGGAGGAAAGATGTCCAGCCCGTGGGGAGCCCCGTGCTAGGGGCCCCTGTCCTGATGCCGTACTTACTTCCCGTCTCTTCCCCTGAACTTGGGTCCTGGGGAAGGTGCTGCCATACAGCTGGCTCCCTGGGCGCTTGGACTCGGGGAAGAGACCGAGGTGAACAGACGTACATGGGCTCATGGTGAGGGCCGGACAGCCAGGTAGACCTGAGCTCTGCCCTGCCCCCACGCCCATCCACCCCTCCGAGCCTCACTTTATCCCCCTGTAAAATGGGGCTATGAAGAGCCACTCCCTGGCAGGACTGTGGGGTGGGTGCTGCCCGGACTCCAAGTTCCTGCTTCCCTCTCGCCCCCACCAGTGTGGGCAGCCTGGGGTGGGAGGAAAGAAGAGCTGACTTGGGGCCTTGCCTCGCCAGCTGCCTAACTCTGAAGGGCACAAGCAGACCCCTCCTCTGTGTGGACTCCAGGCAGGTGGTCAGCCCCATGCGAATTCCAGGGCCGCTGCTTGCTGCCTGTGTGGCCTCAGGCCACTTCCTTCCACTCTCTGTGTCTCGGTCTCTGCCCCTCTTAAACAGGGACAATATAACCCCTCCCCTGCAGCCTTGCTGTGAGGCATACAGCCAAGGTGTCTAGGCTGCAACTGGAGACAAGCATTTCAACCCATGGACACACACTCCAGAATTCCCAGAAGGGAGAGTCACCTTTCCCAACTCTTTTTCTCCTTTTTCTCCCAGAGCAAACAAGGGCAGCAAGCGGGAGGACACAGCCATCCACAGGGATGCAAAGAATCGAGAAACTTCTGGAGGGCTCCTGGTGGGAGTGGGGTCCTGGAAGTCTTCCCTGGGGAGGGGCGGTGGGCTGTGGCTGAAATGGCTCAGTCACAGGGGCCCCTACATACTGGTCTGCCCAAGACAGCTCTGGTGCGTGCATGGGGTCCCAGCACCCCCTTCCACTATCCTGGTTTGGGTGCTAAATCACCTGGCCACCCCACTAATGCATGCTGGAATCAGAAGTGGGGTATTGCCAGGGCAGGGTGGGAACGGCAGCCCTACCCAGACCTGGCCACACCACCTGCACCCTGCAGACTCCTGCAGAGACGCTTCCTGACCTCCAGACCCCTGCACAGGGCTACCAGGGCTCTCTGGCCACGGCCAGCCACGCGACGCCTACTGTATGCACCCGGGAGTGACAGCTTGCCTAGAAAACACAATAAATCATTGACTCCTACAATGTCTGAGATGCAAACACTGATCTAGAGCATTCCAGTTGGAATATAATGCACTTTCTCCATGTTCCAGCAGCCACATTCAAATAGGTGAAAAGAAACAGGCGAAGTTAATTTTAACAATTTATTGTATTTAACCCAATATTTCCAAAATATGATCATTTCGCTATGTGACCAATACAAAAAGTACTGATGAGCTATTTTACATTTTTTTGTGCGTGTGTGTGTGTACTAAGTCTTTGAAATCTGGTGTACATTTTACACTTACAAAACATCCCAATTCAGATGCTAAATTTTCTTTAGATATACTTGTCTGTACTGTAGTTAGATTTCATAAAGTTTACCTTTGAAAAAGTAGATTGACGTACCCAAATTGTTCCAAACATATTTGAAAGTTTTTCAGCCACTAAATCGAGCATCCGTTTTTAGATCTAAATTTTAATTAATTAAAATTAAGTGAAATTAAAGACTCAGCTCTTCAGTTGCACTAGCCAAATTTTGAGCGCTCAGTCGCGACACACAGCTATAGCTTCTGTATCGGACAGTGCAGATCTGGATTCTTCCTGATTTCCCAGTTGGGTAAACTGAGGCCCAGAGAGGGGAAGCATCTTAACTGAGGCTTCGTTAACAGGTTCTGCCTGAGCTGGGACCAGATCTCATTTTTTGGCTCCTAGTCTATGCTGTTCAGCCTCGCGAATTCACAGCTCGGCCTGGCTCAGGGACCAAAGGCCTCCATAACAGTCCAACTTATAATCCGCCAAAGCCAGGGACTTTCCTGGGGTGGGGATGTGGGTGGTGTGGTGGGCAGCACCAGGCATGGAGCCCGACAGCCGAGGGCTACTGGACGGCAGTGACTGAAGCCCCCAGGGCTTCATCGTCCCCGTCTGAGGATGGGGGTTTCCATCCCCTCTCACTCAGCCTAGGTGCCTACATGGGCTAGTGCCTGACAGCAGGGCCTCTGCCTCAGTTTGTCCATCTGTGAAATGGGAATGATGACGGCCATGGCAGCAGGCCTCCCTTGTAGGACTACTGCGTGGGCAAGACTTGCCATCGTAGTGGACGTGAGGGGACTGGCCACTGTGGGGACCACATGAGAGTGTATGAGTAGAAATGTCTCCCTGGAAAGATAAGCCCATGTCCCACTCCCAGCACCTGTGGACGGGACCTTATCTGGAAATGGGGTCTTTGCACATGTAATAAATTAAAATGAGGTCATCCTAGGGTCGGGTGGGCCTGATCTAGTAGTGACTGGTGTCCTTACAGGAAGATGAAACAGAGATGCAGACACACAGTTGGGTAGAGGCCATGTGAAGACAGAGGCAGAGATGGGAGTGATGCGGCCACAAGCCACGGAACACCTGGAGCCAACGGAAACTACAAGAGGTGAGGAAGGACCCTCCCCTAGAGCCCTGGGAGGGACACGGCCCTGCTGACACCTTGACTGTGGACTGCAGCCTCCAGAACCATGAGAGAAGACGTTGTTTTAAGCTGCCCAGTTTGTGGTACTTTATTACAGCAGCCCCAGGAAACTAAGACAAAACCGTTATTGTCACGAGTGCAATCCCCACTCCCAGCAGGCACCCTGTGGTGGCAGTGGCTCCCACCAGAGTCCCAGCCCCGCAGGCTGACCCAGAGGCTCTGCGGTTTCCCCAGCCAAGGCCGAAAAGCCCGACCTGGGGCCGTGGACGCCGCGCTGGACCCGGCCTGGCAGAGCCTGGGGAGGGGACGCGGTGCTGGCCGCCACCCTGCCCACCCTCCCGCCACCCGGCCGGGCTCCTCCAGCTGCAGCGTTCACAGTGCAGCTCTGCTTGTCCCTTGAAAGTGGCCGCCTGGCCTCCAGTTAGTCACCCCTTCAGGTATTTAAGTAACGTTCTCTCAGCCACTCACCGTGCACACCCAGCCCTCTGCAGCCTCTCCTCTTCCCCAGCTTTGAAGATAAATAATTTTAAATACCACAGTATCCCTTTAAAACCAGGCAGATGGGGGTGGGGGTTTGGAATCCAGAAGAGTCCACAATGCTCTAAAGAGGGAGCGCACAGGCTCCTCAGTCCCCGTTCCCGGCCAGCGGGCCCAGGTGGGCAGCAGCTGACGGGGCCGGGGGGTGAACCTGGGGCTGGGGCCCAGGGTGGCCCAGGGAGGACGCGTGTGAGAGCAGGCCTGGGTTCAAATCCTGCAGCCCCCTTCCTGGCAGTGAAGCTCTGAGCAAGTCATTCAAACCTCCGCACCTGTCTCCACCTCTGACCCTGGTGTTGGGGCGTTAAATGTGTCATCCCACAGCTAAGGTCATTGCAGCTGTGATGGCTAAATAATGAACCCAGTCTGGGGGTGGGGTGAGTCCCTTGGGTCCCCTCGCACACTGTGTGATCTTCCTAAGTCTCTTGACCTCTCTGGGCTTCTGGCTTGGCTGTAAGTGAGGAGCCTGGGGTAAGGGTGGCAAAGGAGGAAACTCCTGAGAAGGGAGGCCCCAGCCCAGCTCAGGAGCCTCTGCCTTGTAGAAGCGCAGCCTGCCAGAGGCCCAGGACCCGCACGTCGCTGGCAGAGGGAGCAGCTGGGGCTGTGGGACGGAGGCCTGAGGGCAGCCTGGCCGGGGGAGCAGAAGTTCTCTGTCACAGAGGAAAGGGTCGCCCGGGTCCCTCCTGGAGTGACCCGAAGCTCAGGGAAGGCAGTGCACCGATGCTGGAGGCCTGAAGCAGGCTGGCATTTGGCTGGTCTTGCAAGAAGCCTCTCTCCATTAATCCAAATAACTCTCTGTCCCTCACAAGATGTCCCTGAGCCCAGGGTTCAAGGCTGGGCCGGTGGCCACTCAGTGGGCTCATGTGAACCGAGGACCACTCTTCCCCAGCCATGGGACACAGGCAAGCCGAGGGGTGCAGGGGGGCCACATCACACAGAGAGGGGGACCCACTGCCTCCCGTTATACAAAGGAGAGCAGGTGCCTGGGTCCAAGCCTGCCATTTAGTTAGCAGATAATAATACTGTGCTGTTTTTATAGTTACATTTTAATTAGGGCAAGAGATGCTGGTCTCTATTCTTGATAAGAGTATGGAGTTTCCTTTTAAATAAATTTAAGTAAACAATGAATCCATTTATTCCTTACAGGTTTATTTTATTGGCAAGGTGTTTGATGGGTATTTTTTTTTTTTTTTTTTGGCAGCTGGGCAGGGATCAGAACCCTTGACACTGGTGTTATGACACTGCGCTCTACCCAGCTGAGCTGCCCAGCCAGCCCTCGGTGGGACTTTTTAAGTTGCTGTGAGCTCTATGGAGAAGAATCTGCCCTATCCCAGGAACTGGGAGTCCAGTGGTGATCACTTCTGTTGGAGGCAGAGTCAACAAATGGCCCAAGAGATATCCAGCTGTGACCAAGAGTCCGGGCCAGTTACTCACCTTCTCTGTATTTTGGGTTCCTCACCCACAAAGAATGGGCAGCGGGAGAGCACCTTGCTGGGTTGTCATCAGGACACCCACGTTATCTGAATGCTCACTACGTGCCAGGGTCCTTCTAAAGGTTTCATCATCACAAAAACCCTACAAAGTAAGTGCAATTATGTCCCCATTATACCAATGAGGAAACTGAGGCACAGAGGTCCCAGAACGAGTCAGTCTGAGGCCAGAGTCTGAGTCTACACCGCTGCACTGTGCTAACTCTGTTGAGGGCCAAGCGGCACTCGTTGGTGGGAGCAAGTTGGCTTTCACGTTCTGTCCTGCACCACGCACCTGCAGCTGTGACAGAAGTGTCCCCAGACTCTTCAAGCCTGCCGGAAACAGTGCTGGTGGCTGCAGCATCCCTTGTAGATCGGATCTACAGAACATCCAGGCAGTTTCCAATCTATACAGATTTGTCTTAACTTCCTTCACACCCTAAAGCTGCCAGTCCATCCCCTGGACAAGCACGTCCTCAGCAAATGTTTCAGTTTAGTGCACATCTGCCTGATGGGGTGTGGAGTTGGGGCCTCATCTATGGCCGAGGTCAGCTGCCCCCGTGCCACAATTCCTCGGGCTCGGTGCTTCGTGGGCCTCTGGTGCTCTGGGAAATGCCTGTATAGAATTATGCAGGGCCGCGGTGGAGCTGGCCCAACCTGCTGGGCTCCTGCCGCCTCTGTCACATGGAGGTCACAGCGTTTCTTTACACCGGGTCTGGTTACCCACCGGACATTCCAGCCTGCCCAAGGAGATGCCGTTTTTCTTTCAGGTGATGCATTCTGAGCATCAAAGCCCAGAATCTTGTCCTTCTGTCCCGGGATAATGGGCCTAACTCCCACCGCAGGCACCTGAGTGATCCTGGAGAATCCAAAAGGAATTTTGAAGTGACACTTTAAGGAACCCATTCATGGGGAAATGAGTTATTTTTGTTGTAGGCACAATGGGGTCTGTCACTCCCCACCCCATTCCTCTGCGCTAATCACTCTCCTGTCCTGTGTTTTGTGTCTGCTCCCTGCCAGGACCTGGCCCCACGTAATGTATGGATATCATATCTTTTATACAAAAATATCTATATATTTTGTCTTCTCTTTGCAAACAAAATACATGTACAATATTGAATGCTGCTTTTTTCACTTAATATTTTATCATGAGCTTCCCTCATGCAATTCATACTCTTCATAATTATTCTTAAAGCTGTACAGTAAATAGTCCTGAGAGAGGCAGTGGGGCCTGGTGGTTCAGGCACAACTCAGGAGCTCAGCTCTCTGTCTGTGAATCCTGGCTCTGTCTCTCAGCTGCTGAGCACCTGCAGGCAAATTGCTTAACCTGTCTGTGCCTCAATTTTCTCATCTCAAGAATGGGGCTATTAATAGTCCTTACCCACTCGGGTTGGTACAGGATTGGACGACTCACTGCGAAATGCTCAGAAGGGCGCTTGGTGCAAGCACCACGTCAGTGTCTGGCAGGTGGATTCTAACGTCCCATCAGACTCTGTGCCTGCCTGCCTCCTGTGCTCCAGAGCACACGGAGAGGAACGGCATCGCAGGCTTGGCCGTGTCCTTCTCATCAGCAGTTATTAACAGAGGTGGGCTGTGTCTGTGGGTCCTGGGTTTGAAGCCCAGCTCCTCCACTCACCTGCTGTGCGCGCCTGAGCAAACTGCTTGCTTTCTGTGCTTCAGTTTTGGAGAAAGTCGTCCCCCCCCACCTATTCCAGGGAACACAGGTGCGATGGGAGGGAACATGTGGGTGTGAGAGGGAAGGCACGGCCGCGATTCAGGAGGATGACATTGGAGAGACATGGAAGGTAGGAGGGGTCCACAGGGCTCGTGCAGCGGCTGGATGCTGGAGCAAAGCTGCCGGCACGAGGGA